TATATATATATATATATATATATATATATATATATATATAGCATAAAAACATTAGAATGTTTCAAATTATTCCTAAAATTAAATTTATTTATATATTGAATAAAAAATCATGCTTTGTTTAGCACATAATTTAAAATATATTTGCATCTGGGTAAACTTTCCAAAAAGAAAATTTTGCTTGAAAGCAATTAGAACGTTACCGGTTGAGGGATGCTTCCACCAAACATCTTGTAATAGAGATCTATATTTCATGAAGCTAAGGGGTAAACAGATGTGTGAATATCTTGTTCTGTTTTTTTCTTTTGCAGATTATATGCTTCAGTATTAAAGATCTTAGGGAGCTAAAAGTTAGATTCACATCCAATATGTGATCTGCTTCTCTTGTATAGCCATGCAAGATGTGATTGTTCTTTATTGGGGTGGCATTTTCTTACTATCCAAAAGGTTTGACAACAAAATAATTTTAACACACATTAGATTAGTGAAAGCCTAGTATCTTTTTGCATAAAAGCCTGTTTGAAGAATCATTATTACATCTTGATTTTTAGTCTAAAATTAAGGGGTACTGCATTCACACCCTTTAATGGAGTTCATTTCACTAAACTTGTGTATCTAACATAGGAATTAATGATATTTTTTGCTTCATGTCATCTTCAAGTTCCCAAATGGTTTCTCTCTCAATGCATTAAAAGAGTAAGACACATTTGCAACTGTTAAACCAGATTCTGATTGTTTGAGCCAACCGATGTCTTATTTCGCATTTGTCTCAGTTGATGTCGGGAAGTGTCAAATCAACCCGATTCGGGATGTGCCAAACTCTGCAAAAACTGCATTTGAGGCATACCCGACAAAGGCTCTCTGATGTTTAAGTTAGTTTTGGTTGTAAGGTGTCGGCTGAATGTCGAGAATTTGACATTGTGTCGACTATGTGTTGTGAGGTGTCGACCATGTGGTGCCAATATATCGGCCATGTGGAGTCGAGGTGTTGGCTACGTAGTGTCGAGGTGTCGGTCATGTGGAGCCGAGGTTTAGTCACATAACATCGAAGTGTCGTCAACATCATTATTCCCTAAGTTTTCTATAAACAATTGGAATTCTTTTTTAAAAAGGGAAGAATTCAAACACATTAAGTTTTGTATAATCAATTGGAATTCTTTAATGTAATTGCAAAAGTGAAGGAAGAGGAGTCCATGTTCTCGCATAAAGTTGATAACTCTTAACTTTTCTCTTTCTTTTTTCAGTACAAATATCGAGGTCATCAATATTACATACAGCCTAGAAAGTGCTTAAACTTGGTTTTGGTGGTGAATAACTAAAAACAGCAGGTTTACTTTGACTGCAATTCTTTGGTGCATAACAATTGTATACTTGATTTTGTTCCATGGGAAATATTTGTAGATAGAAGACTTACAGCACATGTGACTTTGATGGATGTGTTGGGCATTGTTATAAGACTAGGCTTTTGAAACCTTTTGAGCATACTTGTTTTTGTGATTCAAACACCATATATGTGTGTTTCTAAACTCATGATTTCAGTTAAGTTTTGTGCTTCTCCAGAGGCTACAACAAAGAGCAAACTGGCTGCTTTGAATGAGAAGCTTGACATCTTAGAGCATAGGTTAGAGGTGCTTGAAGTCGAAGTTAGCAGTGCAACAACTAATCCTTCCGTTTTCACATAAAATTTGTCCTTTTTGTTAGACCTCTGGAAAATAAAAGTGATCTTGTCAGCTGTACCTTTCATCTTTCAGTATAGCGTTGCAGATTATCAGGTGATCTCTACTCAGTGTTGATGATGAAATTTGTTGACTTGTATACTATTACATCCGAGAATCCACTAGAAAATTAGTCTCAGCATGATTTCAGGTGCTTACATTTTGAGCTTTTGAATCCATCTGAAAGGATGATTTCATTTTGTTTTTCAAGGATTGCGTTTGATGAATAAGTTTTCACAATAGCAGTAATCTAAACTTCTACAGTTTGCATATGTTTCTATAGATTACATTGTTGGATACAGGTTCAGGGATTGAAGGTCCTACAAGTAGTTGGAGTTGTATAAATGCATGACTTAATTGATACTATGTTTTTCTATATACCTTTTTCTTTTTCTTTTTGTCCAGGTTCATGATTTTGCATAGTGGTAGTGTACCAATGTTAGTATGGAACATATCGAGTATCAATATATCAATACCAATGTTAAGGATGTTTTTCTGTTCTTTGTCATCGGATGTCGGTGATCGTCTTCTTGGAATGGGTTGAGTAGCTCGGCTTTGTTCAGTCCTGGTTTGTCAAGTCTGGTGCCACACTGAAGTGGATCTGAGCTCGATATTGCTTTCATGCACAAAGATTGCCTATGGATCATTTTGATGTTCAAGTTAAACATCTTAAAATGGGTTTTTGTAGAGTGAGAGAGAACCTGATCCCAAGAATCTTACTCGCATTCACCTTTTATAATTGATCTTTCCTCGAAAATACTTAGAAAAATATTTCTTGTAAAAAAATTGTTCTTTGAATATTTTTTTTATTCGGATTCCGCTGACGTGGTGTATCTATTTGTCATATTTTAGTAGCATAACTATCACGTGTCAATCTTTGGGTTAGAGTAAATATTTCTTCTATTAAGTACATATTGAGTTTTAAAAATTGAATAAATAAAAAAATAAAATAACTACTTACTGTAGTTCTATGTTGAACGTTCCAAGCAATATATGCCCCATTTATATACCGCTTAATTTATCTGGATTTGCTCTCGATATGCTGTTGGATCGATAAATAGCATCCATATTTGCAAACCTTGCTTTCTACAAAAGATTTAATTTAATTTAGGATCCTTACAATTATCTAATAGTCTTAACCAGCTAAGCTAAATAGACATCATCCTTACCAATAGTATTGCAAACTTGCTTTTTACATTTGGAAAGTATTGGGTACATGATTTCCAAAACCTTTCGATGTTTTTACAATCTTAATCAGCTACATTAAACCGCCATAGATGTGATTTCAGACCTCCAAAGTAAACATATTGAGGATTATGATGGTTAATTATAGATTACTCCAATAGTTAGTTATCGTTTATTTATCATAATATTATTAGTTTTACTGATGGAAACATGAAAATAAAGAGCAAAAAGATAATATTAATATATCAGTCGGTGGTGATGGAAGATAGTGTCGTTGGAGGTCGCGAGTGATTGTTATGAATGAGAAGAGTAGCGACAAGAGATGAGGGTTGTTTTATATTTATGTCGACACCGATGTAGTTGTCGAGTGATGAAAGGGTCGCTCGGTATCTGCATTAGTATCGACACAATTGTTGAGTAATGAAATGGTCGTTAATATAGATGTCGAGCAACGTCGGTCTACATCTACGTCGGGGTCAACATAGTTGTCGAGCGACGTAAGTATGTGGAGCGATGAAAGGGTTGCTAATATAGATGTCGAGCAACGTCGCTTTACATCTACGTCGAGGTCAATATAGTTGTCGAGTGACGAAAGTATGTGGAGCGATGAAAGTATGTCAACACAATGTTGCTCTATATCTGTGTCGGCGTCGATGCAGTTGCCAAGTAGCATCACTCGGCATCTGCATCGATGACCCTTTCTTCGCACAACTATGTCGATGCCAACGTAGATGTAGAGCGATTCTCTATCTCGCTATTGCTTTTCTCATCCACAACAACCACCTACGATTATTAGCGGTGTCGTCATCCACCATCACTAACTGAAATATTAAAATTATATTTTTATCTTTTATTTATGTATTTTCGTTCATAAAATCGATGACGTTAGGATAAATGAATCTAGATATTTTATTTTTACAACTATAAGGATATCAATGTAATTTTTTAAAATATAAGGATCGGAATGCTAAAAGTAGCTAACTACAAGGGATAATATATAATCAGTTCATATTATGAGGTTAAATATTATGATAAATCTATTGAATCTCGGATTTTAATGATGAATCAATTGATGAGTTTATGAACTAATATGCTTTTGATATAAGTGACACAGGAAATATTTCGATCACGAACTCGAACCATCAAAGGACAAATTGCCGAAGTAGGAGAATTGAATGTTGTGCTAGAAAAGTATCGTGTCAAAAATTAGACGACAAGCTAGAGAATTGATCGATGTGCCGAAAATGGGATTTTGTGTAGTTCAAGTATAGTGCTGGAAGGATCGGGCATTGTGTCAAAAGATCGAATGTCGTGGGAAAATCGACATGCCAATAGATCAAGCGATATGCCAAATGAAAGGATGATGCATTAGAGGTTTAGACAAAGTGTCGAAAGATCGAACGACATGATAGAATGACATACAACATATTGAAAGCTTTGTAATTGTGCCGAATATGTAATTGAATTTTTATAGTCTTAATCGAGGTCTTTTTGGGCCAAATTATGTTGGTATTGGGTCAAAACTATGCCAACTTATTAAGAAAGCCAATGGGCTTAAACCTGAGTCAAATTGCGCTCGATAGAAGGCCAAAATAGTGGTCTTGAGTAAGCCTAGGCAGTGGTACCGCTTGAGTAAACCAACAAACACAAACAGTGCTTATCAGTGCTACCAACGGTGGCGTTGCAAAGTCCAAAATTGTAGTGTCAAAAGTTGTGACGATAGTACCGCAAGGTGTCAATGGTAGTATTGCTCGTACCCTAAAATTTTTGTCTCCATTTAAAAGTCGTTTAGGGCTTATAAATACACCATCAAGGCTTGGTTGATGGAGCATCAAATTTTGAGTTTGTGAAGGATTATAGCTCTCTCTTTAAGCATTGTTTGAGTATCTTCCTCAAACAATTACTATCGCATTTTCAATATGGATTTATCGATCGAACTTTAAAATCGGACAAAAAAATTACTATAGCACTAATTCATCCCCCCTTCTTAATGCTATTACATACCTAACAATTGGTATTATAGTCCAATTCTCTTACTTGGATTAATATACAAGAAAGATCTAATAACTTTTTAGGCAATCAAGAGGTCACTCCATCACTTGTTCTTCTATGTTCAATAAGACGGATTGTATCTATTAGAAAACTAGAATGATAATTTTTTTATTTCGTATGGATTTTGATTTATTAAATGTCATCAAGTTTGGTTTTCAAAAATCTTTTAAGTCGATGGATGAATGGAATAATTTTGAAAAAAAAAATATTTTTTTAAATACTAAAACTATAAATACTTTATTTTGTGCTTAGATAAAAATGAATTTAATCGAGTTTTCATATGATACCGCACATGATATTTAGCACATTCTTTAACCTGTAAAGTAAAAAATAATCCAAGTTGGAACAACGTGTTACGTGGGATAGGACATTGCAGTGGTAGATATGCCACAAATTCACAAGAACCCATCCTAAAGGAGCTTCAATTTCTTGTAAACCAACCAACTATAAAAAAAAATAACCACTCATATTGACTTTGTATGCCTACTTCCAAAAGAGATGAGAAAATTATGATAAATACTTTAGTAAAATTCAATGCCGTAAACAACAAGAATGTTATTTCAATTTTTATCCATGTGCACTTCAACCAGAAATAATTTCATAAACAATATTCTCTACAAAATTGTAGCGATGTTTGGAAACCATCCTAGCAAGTATTCTGTGATGCTACAGTAAAGACAGAAAAAGATAAAAAGGAAAAACTAAGGAAAACTCAATTCACATAGTTTGATAAGAAATCTTTTGCTCTTACAAGCGACTTGATTAACATATACATGTTCAAATTAAGTTTAAGAAAAAGCCAAGCATTATGTCTAGGTCTTAGGTGAAAAAGGAAACAATTCAAGTTGTATCATGTTTGATTAAAAAGTACTTGTAAGAATTAGCAAGAGTGAACAGCTACAAATTATGGATGTGCCAAATTTATCGTCGCACCAGACTGGATGTGTTGGATACAACACATACAGTAATTGCACAAAGAATCCATTTATAGAAAAATATTAAAAAATCAGCTAATTATATGATACTTAAGGAAAACTTCTTGAAGGAACTTTGCTTTGCTTGAATATTACTTGTATATAATAGAGATGGACGAATGATTAGATAATATGCTAATAACCATTAATGAATAATAAAATTATCCTACTCATAAATATTTAGTCAAGCTTGGTCATATAATCCATGACTTTTGGAATTTTATCTTATTAAGTTTGATGTATCTAAACCATATCCATATGTGGATAATGCAGGAGCAACAACATATGAAGCTTGTAAATTCTGAAGTACAAAAGCCCTACAATAGTTGTGTGTGAAACAATACTTACTATTTGAAAATATAGAGGTCTATTTTATTATTAATTAATCTGATAGTAACTTCTTTATGGCATCAAACCACTACACTAAATAATGTCACAAGTGCCAATACGTCAATACCTACTATCAAGAGATTGTATAGCACCTTGATTACATTCAGTTGCGTATGCACGCACAAGAGATTTTTTATAAAAAGCTAAGGATTATTAACAATATATTGGGACTACTTTTTGTATGCACTAGTCTACTCCAATATTATATTTTTCTTGAAAAAGCAAAAGAAAAAACAGGATGGGAGGACTAAGATCCAAGGATTGAAATATCGTACCGTACCAGAGTTTCGACATTCGCTCGATACTATCATGGACTTAGCTGGTTTTGCCTAAATCGTGCGGCACCTTTGCATGTCCGTCTGTAAAGGTCAGCCTCCCCGAAGCCTCCCATGGTCCCTTAGGACCCACAAAAGAGAAAACGAGTTAGAGAAAACGTCTCACTCGGGATCCAAAAGCAAACATTTCTGAAAATACTTCATAGACAATGCAAATTACAAACAGACTTTACAAGCTCTGAACAGTTGCACAGCAAAATGTCAAAACGGTCCACCACATACAGAAAATCTCTCACAA